ATTTATTTAAAACAAAATTTAAATGCAAAGTTTAGCTTCTTATCTAAAAGAAAAAATTTTTAAATTATTGCAATTGTTATTAAGTTACTAATTATTATGTTAATTGTTTTAAATAGAATCTCTTCCGTCTGAACAAGAAAAGCGGAAAAAGAAAGTACAAACTCGTATAATTTCTTTTGATGACAATGAGGAAGAAGAACGCAAAGAGACTACAACTTCTATTAGCGCACCACCAACATGCTCTAGTTCTCCTGCGATAACGCCAACTAAAGATTCCACTTCCCCATGTTTATCAGATTGTCAACCTCAAGTAGATTCCAATGACACTGCAGCGATCAATACAAAACTTCCGGACTGGGAACAATGGTAGATACCTTTCACAATAACTAATGTTATAATAGATACAAAATATGATTTTTTTAAATCTTTTTTAAATATTTACAGTGAGTCTCTTGAAGAAGAGAAAATATTAACCCCTGTAATGGATACCGGAAATTTGGGCGGCCTTGTACCTGTTTCATCACTTGATCAAACGTTAGATGATATGTTAGTTACTCTGCCAAATTACTTAGACGTAAGTTTCCATTTTTAACTAATTTTAACAAACGTATTTAATTACATTTTTTATTAGTCAGGGTGGTTATTATCGGAAAAAACCGGGAAAACCTGAAATTTCATTTTTGCCCTTGAAAATTATAGATTTTCATGGAATTTTACTGATACTCAAAATTTTTTGAATTTTTAAAATTTAACTTTATCCCTTTAGAAAATAAACGTGGCCCCATATCGAAGGCCCCTGATATTGAAAGTTAATTTATTTTAAAATTGACATACTATATGAAGACTTCAATCTAAAATCGATAATCCGGAAATAATAAATCAGGCATTAAGAGTCTAATAACGCAGAACTTGGTGTGAAACAATTTAATCTTCATATGTAGTTACATCTCCATACAAAATTATGTTCGAAAAATTTTGTATGGAGATGTAACTGTTGTACATATGAGAAGATTAAATTGTTTCATGTATCAAGTTCTGTACGTTATTAGAATTCTTAGTGCATAGTTTATTTTAAAGCTATATTGAGAAATTCTCTAATCTTACCTGGAATTTTGAATAAAATTCCTGGAACATCTCGGAATTTTTAGGGAATTCTTTTACAAAATTTGAGTACTCACCCTGTTATTATAAACATTTGACAGTTGAAGCAGATTTGTCAATATATTGTAAATATTTATTAATATCAAAATATTAGCAGTAAGACAGTTAAGATAAAACATACAGGAGTATATATTTTTTTAATTATCTCCATTTAGGATTCATCAGAAGTAACAGAACCTGCACTGGAGGCAACAGAACCATTAGTTGGTTTAGATTTTCATATAGATCCCGAGAATTTAGATGTAGATACATTACGCGTGAGGCTTTTAGCTATGACGGAAGTGCTGGAACAAGCTAGGGAAGATGCTATAACAAGCAGATTGCAATTAGCTCGTTTCCAGAGGCAACATCAACATTATTTGGAAAGACATGAATTACAGTTGCAAACATTGAACAGGTAATTATGATTGTTTAATGTGATTAATTTATCAGCAATTATTTTGTTGATAAATAACATATATGTACCTATGTATACATATATGCAGAGTGAATCATATAATTTAATTTTATCCTAATTATTTCCGTAATAAAGATATTGATTTAAAGAGAGAGAAAGAGAGAAATTAATGAAAACATTATAATTAGTAGACTTATTTAAATTTAAATATTAATTTATCAAACAAAAGAAGAAAAATGTAATCAAAATTGAGTTATGTGATTCATTCTGTTTGTAGGTAGATATTAATACATAGTATAATTTATTTTGGCTTGCTTCTAATTATGCAGAGAAAATGAACTCTTACGGCAGCAATTGCGTAAGTATGTCACCGCTGTTCAGATGTTAAGACGAGATTCCAATTCCACGGTGTCCGAGGAAGAGCCATCGTTGGACTATCACAATGAGGCGCGACAATACGAAGAAAAGTTAATACAAGTCGCAGATATGCATGCTGAGTTAATGGAATTTAATGCTAGATTGACGATGCAATTGACAAATAGGTATGTATTAAGTAGAATTCCTCTAGCCGGATATTATTAATTGATGCCGAGATTGATCTGTGCTCAACATTTAGCTTTGGCCGCTCCTGTGGCACTCGAGCTGTCTTATCTATCTCAGGCCTGTCCAAATCTCGGCTCGCGAGTTGAAACGTTACCAACTCTACATCGTCTCGAGCGAGTGAAACAGAGAGTAAATAAACAAGGACAGGCGCTAGAGCTTTGTTTGGATTCGTAGCTCTGGCGTCCTTGTTTATTTACTCTCCGTCTCGCTCGCTCGAGACGAAGTAGAAGTGATAGCGTTTCAGCTCGCGAACCGAGATTTGGACAGACCTAGTCTATCTGTTACCAGAAGATCACTCTTACTAGAGGGATTCTAGTATTAAGCATGCAAAGTCACACATGAAAATTCGTGATGTCTATTCTATTCAAATTTTGTACAGGGATAGATTAGTAAAGATGCTGCAAACGGAATTGGAGTGTCTCCGAGGACCGTTAAATGAGGACGATATACCTGCGGAGCCACCGTGTCTTATTCATATATGGATTCCATCGGCATTTCTTACAGGACAATCATCTGACATCCATCACGTTTATCAAGTATGATCGTCTTTCGTGTTCGTATTAAAGTCTTTTCACCAAAATGATTCCTTAATTTATTTGTATATTCATTGTGTTAAACAGATCTACGTACGCATAAGAGACATAGAGTGGAATATTTACCGGCGGTATGCTCAATTTTATGCACTTTACAGAGAGCTAAAAAAACACGACACTATTGTCACAACTTTCGAATTTCCACCGAAGAAAACGATAGGAAATAAGGTAAGCTGTCGAAATATGTCAAAGTATAAACTCCTAATATGATAGCAAAAATATTTTAAATGTAGCAAGTGATTATTAATGATTTTTAGGATGCGAAATTTGTGGAAGAACGACGGCAAAAGCTGCAGCAATGGTTACGACGTATCGTCGGACGCGTAGCGCAGTGTTCACCTGTATTTGCATGTAGGCCAACCAGGCAGACGCTCGTGTCTCTGATGCCTTTCTTTGGGTAATTTACTCAATCTACAAGAATTACTTTCAATAAATCAGTGCTGTCCAATAGTGACACGAATAATTCATCTACTGGACAACACTGTCAACACGTGGATATATATCCACGCAAATCTAGCGCTAAGTATAACGATTTATATTTAGCGCTAAGTATAATTAAGTATGTGATTCGCGTTTATCTGAAAAATGATATATATCAGAATTTGTAACTTTTAATGCAAAGACGAATCGTGATTCAGATTATCAAAATTCTACCCTCTAAAAGATCATCTTTTTCAACATTTTTATATTTTGTTTTATATTTTTGCCAAAATATCACCATCAGTTTCTATTTTCAGTGATAATCCTAATGCTGAGGAATCGAGGAAGAATAATTCCGCAAGAAATACTTTCTCTTCCTCCCCTCAATATATGGGTTTATAATCATGACAATTTTTATAGACAATTTGTACATAATGAAACAGAAATCTTAATTTAATTGCGTCAGACAAGTATCTTGTTATATACAATATACACTGTTGACAATTAAGTAAATAAGCATCGTTGCGTGTATTTATGTAAATAAGAATATATCTACACATGCGTGACTATATATGATGTCCCAGCATGTGTATAAGGTTAATATGTAGCAAAAAAAAAGATTAAAAGCTGGTCTTTTCTATGCAGATAAGATTTCTATTTTTTTAATATTTTACTAAAAAAAATTTATCCCAATCTGAAATCCTATCAATTACAGAAAAAAGTTTAAAAATAATAAATTACGTTATTTTTGTTAAGTCCAACGCAATATCAGTAATATTTGATTTATGGAACCCACTATATAATTGGATATAATTAGATGTAAAGTATAAAATAATAAATTATGTTTGCTCAAACATAAATTTGAATTTACGTATAAAATATTTTAAAAGCGATTTAAAAAAATATATATATATATATACTAGTTGATTGAATATGAATTTATTCAGATATATATCATAATCGTTTTTTCCAATAAGAACGAAAGGAATAAGTAATAAATAATGTGAAATTATTTGTACGATTAAAAAAGATTAAATGAATTGTTATAACAAAGTATACGTATCGAATTACAAGAATCGTTTTCTAAAAAGTTTATTTACGTAAGGCGTCTTAATAGTAATATAAAAAGGTACATTTTTCCATTTATCCTTTATGACAAAAATAAAGGTGCATATTGTTATCGGAATAAGTACATATAATATTATGCCGGTAAATCAGAGTACAACTAATCGCGCATGTAAAAACATGAATTTTAACAACTTACACAAGATATTCTCACTATGGAGAGGTAAGATAATAAGAGGACTCATGAGATCAAGGATATCAATAAGTGTATCTCGAAATAAATCTGCGCAAAACGCAAGTAGCACTTTCGGCTCATTTAAACAACAATCCATTTTTTTTACAATATATTTGTACTAGGCAACACTTTGGCTGTGCTCACCTTTCCATATTGAGAGAAGTTCTTTCTTCCTTAATGGCATGGTACGCTCCGAGTTACAAATTACTTATTATTATTAACGCTTTTCTTTTTTTCTCTATGATCGACGAATAAAGATCAGTAATAATTAATAATTATATATCATTTTGTGAAGCCATCACGCAACAGTCGATGTGTTTATCTTAATGGCCAAACGAAATATCATGAGCTTAAATTACATTACATCACAATCGCAGGGTTACAATAATCATATTCATCAAAAGCATCATTATTAAATCATCCATGTCATTTTTCTCATATAGCTATTAAAAATGTTAGAATTAAACAAATTTTAATTTCAAATTAATCATGTAACTTACTAAGGTACTCAATATAGATATTAAAAAGCACAAAGTTTTATCTAATATTCGCAATATGCTAACTTTGTTTCTATATTTTTATACAATTCCTGAATATACATTTGTGATAATTGATCGAGAATATATTGAAATTTTATTAAAATTGCGAAAAGAGACATTTAATAAAGTATATTATATCGGATGAAGTAGTATCGTAATATTAAAATTTATTTGCAAGACTATAAGTCAATAAATCGTGATAACGAACAAGAATTAACAGATTGTTCCAGAATAATATATATCATAGTTTCTTGTTAAAAATTTAAATAAATTTTCTTCTTAATGTGAAAATGTGAAAGTAAAATTATTATTTAGCACCAATTACCATAGTATTTCAAAAATATATATACCGATTCTGGAACATCTTGTAAGCGAAAAGAATGAGTTATTAAGTGATAAGTAATTATTGCGAAAATATGAGCATATGAAATTATTTTTGTATATGTACACATTTATATGTGTATACACAATATGTACACATTGACCAACGTGCTGTCGTTGCTTCATCAATCAACTTTTCATTTAATTTTGCGAAAATATGTATCACTATGTTCTGTATCAGAAATGGTTAGTACAAGAAGCGTTAACTTATTATTTACATGCTCTATTTCTCTTCACTGACTAATTTTGATTTAGCCCTAGGACCAGCTAGAAACTAAACGAATTCCAACACCGTTCAATCGACGAGATAGAATAAAAAGCAATAGTGTATAATATAAGTAGCATTGTAAGATACTCTTCTAGATTGAGAATGCCTCTATCGAGTGTCACAACTAAGATTATAAGACAAACGATTATATATATATATATATGTTAATATTAAAAATTCAAATATGTTCGTATTTATAAAATCAAGTCGGCGAAATTACACAAATCATGTGATAAACGTAACGTTTATCAAAAAAACAAATCAATGTGATTACGTTAATCATGTCGATATAACGTATATAAATGTTAAAGAATAAAATAAAGTGTTCATTCACATATAAGCTTTGTTATTTTCAACTGAAAATGTCAAACTAACTTCAATCATTTTAGCAAATATATATGCACTATTCAATTAGTACAAATACATTGCTCGGTACATCGAAAAGTTTTATAAGACATATATTGTATTTACGCACATAAGTCAGGACAGTAGTCCTCGTAGAGTAAAAAAAAAAAACAATAAATAATGTTTTACATATTTATTATAAAACAGTGAATAAAAGTTGCATTTAATTTCAGCAGGTATATAAAACTTTTTTTTAAGATATTTTATACAACATACATGTTTTTATGTAGTGAAAAGTTTGTATAATTCTGAGCATCTTACAAATTACAATATAACAATCATCTTCGTTCTTTTTTTTTGTGCAAAATACTGCAACGATACATCTGTAGACTGTCCTAGGGTTAAATGAACTTTTAATTGACATAATCGTTTTGCCGTTTCTGAAGCCTGCTCAGATTTAGATATGTAGAGAGAATGTACCGAACAATAGTGACGTAAAGAGATTATTTAATAAATTACAAGAGTATACATTTATACTCGTTCTCATAGGTAATCGGTATGATTTGAGCCTAATTTATTTAACTTTAGATTCTTTTTCTTTTTATCCGAATAACAGGTAATATTCTCAGTTCCAGCAGTCTTCATTACGCGTTACTCTGCTTACGGAATTGACAACAAAAGCTAACAATAATGATAACACATTATGCAAGTACACGAAGGTTAAAGAGTGGAGCCTTTTTCGATAGAGTGTACGGTGAAAATAACGAGGCTAGCGTTCGCTGAAATCACTTCACTTTTTCATCTACTGCTCATTATTAAAAAGTACGAAAACCTGTTCTTTCATTTTATTCATTAACGTTAATTATACATTATCGTGTTACGTCGGAATCATTCTCCGTTCGTGGTGCGAAGCGCAGACTGAAGTACGTAATTTGAATACGCCTTCCTTTTTTTTTTCCTTCAAAAGTTGCTTCACACTCATTGTCAGATTAGTTACGACAAAGTGGTGATACGAGGTGGTGTCGTTAGATCTGTAGCAAAATAAATAAAAACGAAGTTCTCCTTAAAAACTAGTAAATACTACAGTATCTTTGTATTGTATTACACTTCAACTAGCCAGTGCATTTTTTTTGTGTATCCTGACTCTCTGATTAACCTTCCTGTCTATGTAGCACACCTTACCACGCATTCTAAGGCATGAACTTCCTAGTGAGCTGGATAAGAGAGAGCATAGACCAGTGTGCCAGGTACTTATGTGTTAACATTTCTTTTTCTTTTTCCTTCACTGTTGTAGCTAGATATACATTACATTATTAGAAAGTATATTACTATCGTATTTAAAAAACCGTTCCTTCTCTCTGCTCTTGACTTTACACTCTATCAAGATTCTTATTTTCCGACAGACAGTAACTATAAAAACCGTATGCAAAAACTTTTCGTATTAGAAAGCAAAAAAAAATGAACTTGAACTTCTTGAGTGGCTATGTCTGCGTATACTAAACAATAATTTAACCCGTCCCACGAATAACTTTCAACTTCTTTTTCTCTCACGTTTATATCTCATGTAATAATCTATTCTTTTTTTAAATTTCTGTTAATAATGCGATAAATGTTCAACAACAATTGAAGCAACAAACGGAAAGCAACCGTTTCCTTTTCTACCTGAATGACTAATTATTTAATCTAATATAATGTAAAGTTAGATATAACAAAAACTGATAATCGGACTGCGTTTGAGCAAATACTTTACTACTGAAATTGTTTTGTTAATCGATCCCTATTCAAAGTTATTCGTGTGAATGGCTTAATCAGGATTTCGATATTACAACACACGCATACGATCGTTTGTATAGGACGTGGGTTATATGTTTTCAGCATAGTCATCCACATCTATACAAATACACGCACACCTATCTTCCGTGCCAGATTAGGGACCCGTTTTCACTCACACCTGATACCATAGCGAAAGCACATGTCGTCAGTCAATATTTATACTATTATCACTCGTCGTTTCCATCAGTACATATTCATTCTTATGTTTCGTTCTATCATACATTCATCAATCTGTTACTGTATGTTGTATTGATTGTACAAATTCAGATTGTAATTTAATGTTGTAGGATAAATCAAAAGCATTTGTAATTATATTGTATTGTCACAAGATAGAATAGAAGAATGAAACATTATTAATTTCAAATATAAAGTGAAATACTTCCAAATATTGAATTTTCAATTTCAATATGTTTCAAAATTTGGAGTTTACTTAATTATGTTTGTCAAAAATAAATTCCATGAACGTATTTATATGCAGCTCCAAATTTTCACGACAGTCGCGATCGCTCGTATCTATCTCATATCTCGAAAACAATCTCGGTTTTCGTAAAGCCACTTCTATAAGAACAAAGACACGCGCACGCACGCATACACACAGAGGGATACATTATTTTTTTAGCTCCTTGTACAATAATAGTTTGAGAATATTTTTAGCATACAAGTAATAATACAAAACGATACAAAATTCTAACAAGTGATTCATCTCTGTCATCATGTAATTGAGTTACTTCAAAGCAATGAAGATCTAATAAAACATAGAGACAAGCAGCAATGTATATATACATATGCGTACATATGCATATATATATATTGTGAACACGTGTGCTCTCTTCCTTGTATTTTTCGTAGAATTTTGTTTATTCCAACAATGAAATTTAATACCTTTTCTCATCTTGAATATTTATTTCGTGTATACAAAACTAAAGTCGTTTTTAGCACATTTTAGCACTAAATTTAGAATACACAATTTCATTAGTCTTTTTTCCCTGTAGAACACAATGTTCATTCCTAAACCTTTTGTCGTTTCTTTTCTTTTTTGTTTCTTTTTTTCTTTTAGTTATCACAAATTATTGTTCCTCGTATTTTATTATTGTTTCGACCATCATAACGGAGCTCGAATGCCTTCCAATACTCTTCTCTTTCTTTTATCGATGCATCTGCAACTTCTTTTTTAATTACACAATCCACGATGTCCGCACGATGTTTCGCACGGGGCGCACTGGGAACAGGCTGTTCTGTTTTTTTTCTTTTGTTCGGTAACTTTTCTTTGTCGTTATATGCCTTTATCTCGAAGTAAATCACTTTCTACCCACAAGGTCGTTAAAAAAAAATATATATATGTATATATACTAATCGAGCTTATAAGTGTAACACCGCAAGGTAAAGAGTGGGACTATGGATTTGGAGGAGGTGTGGTCGGTGTTGTATGCGCGGAGGGTGATGCACTGGCGACCATTGTCGGACTGGCCGGCTGTTGCAATGGCAGGAACGCTGATCCCAAGCTGGGTTTCAACTGGAATGCTGGAACGCACGGCTTTGGGCAATAGTCTAGTTTGCTCAAATCTATCATGGGCCGCCTATGCACATGAAAACATTAAAAAAAATCGTTATTCAAATCGTTGTTTACTCTGTAGAAGATGATATCGTAGGCAAAGAGTTATCTCTGCATTACCTCGCATCTTCCACAAATTTGAGGTTGACTTTCTCACAGCCATCGGGCGGTTCCCTCGCGAGGAACCTGTTAATGTGAGGAGAAGTGCCGAGACGTCCTTCTCTATCTTGTTCAGGAGTTGAACCACGGCTTCCACCTACAAATCAAAGAAGAGCGTTCAAATCATATCATCGTAGGAAACGTAACTCGTAGAGCGTGTTTTTTATGTTGGTCAAAAAATATGTAACAAAAATTCATGCCACTCACTATTTCAATAATGATTACTTGCTCATGTATGTGTATAAAGAGTAGGAATAGATTTATGTAAAACAAGTTGTCTTTGTGTACGTTCATTTTATAATAAAAATAAATAGATAAATTATCTCTTCATACATGCTACATTTAATAAAAATAAAAAGGAAGAAAACGTGTGCACATATATTAGACATTAATTTGATTTAATATTCTTGCTTTCTCATGGTGCTAAAAAAAAAATAAAATAAATATTAGTATCTGTTCGAAAATATATTAAATTAAAATCGCAATTATCGTGTAATGTTCCTCTTCAAATTTGCATGTAGTATGTAATATGTACGTTTATGTTGATAGTAAGATTTACAACTACAAAGGAAATATCTGATTATAAAGAATAAATAAGTATACAAAACATTCATAAATAACAGTAAATCATGCAACTAATTTCAGGTATGTGCTTTTTTTAAATGATTTTGTTTAAAAATATCTGGTTTACCTATTGTGTATTATTATAAACTGTGCCATCTAATGATATGCATGTTATTGATGGTAAAAAAAATTAATAAAATCTTGAATAGAAATTCGATCGTAATCGAAATTAATATGATTGTAAAAATCATGACTACAAATTTGTTTGTAAATAAAATGTTTTTTTTTTTATAGGATTAAATTCTACAAGATTTAAATTTTACGTATAACTCGATGGCCAACTTTTAGAAATAGATAACACCATGCATATAAAACGGATATTTTTAATAGATTTTAGCAAAAATATAATTATATTTATTTTTATATATATACATATATATATACACATATATAAAATGTGTATATATATAATATATATTTATACACATATGTAGATAAATATAGGTCATTCAGAGTGTGTAATATCAATAACCACAAATCGAGGGAAAGACAAACAAATTTGTTAAATGAGATCTGTGAAAACGAAAAATCAAATCTTTCCGCAAATGTGCTCCAACCTTGTAAGAGATCGCTAGGTGGACGGGATGCATCCATAACACCAGGAATCAGCGGAGACTCAGAATTCCTAGATGGAGGGCCTGTCTCAACAGGCACACACCTTTAGTTAGTGTGTTATTTATATTGTTGCATTTAGCCAGAAAGAATACATGTAACATGTGTATACAAACTGGCTATAATCGCTTGATTAGCGACAATTGGAAAAGTATCATCATATACACACACAAAAATTAATTTAAAAACAGAATAAAATTTTATTACACGATATAAATTTTACGCGTTTCTTTAAACAAATTTTTGCATAAAGAAATTTTATTCTATGTTTCACATTTATCTTTTTTTATGTAAACTCATCCTTTTCCCATTATCGTTAAGAGATCCACTTTACGTATATAGAGTAAATATTTAATCTTAAAATAGCCTGATTTTTTTTTAGCTGTTACTCAATTATCTTTTGAAGAGCTCATTATACCATTAGTTGCAAATCTTTTTTGTAATTTGTAACAATCATCGTAATTGTACGCAATCACCGTGTATACCTGGAAATTAATTAAGCACAAAGACGTCATCACGTAATTTACCTGAAGAATAAGAACTGGAGGGAAGATCGGTAGCCGGTGTTTGTGTGTTGACACTCCGAGTAGCCCGCAATAAGTCTGCTAGAGGGGCGCGATGTCCTTCGGGTGTGATTTGCTCGCGATACCGTGCATACTGAAGACAGAAAAATTTCATGCTTATCATTGGAATCTCACATATAAAAGAAAAAATAAAAAAGAACGCAAGGAAAAATTCCGTTTCGCGAAAAATGTGTAGATTTGAAACTTTTATTTTATCGCACAAAATATTTTGCAATAATCAATGATGTAAATGTCCATTTTTCTAAACGTACAAATATTCAAAATAAAAGACACCGCACTTATAGATGCAAATATTCAATGCAAAAATAATCTTCAAAATAAAATATAATTTTAATGCATTTTTCTTAAAAGCAAGAATAAAAAAAGCAAGATTTCTGTCCTTTTCCAAATAATGTAACGATAAATTAATTCTTGTTCTATCTCATTAAAATAGCCAATTTTATACGTTACCTTGTCTTCTACTGGATGGTCTGCATCACTATTATTGGCTGTGTTTTTGAGCACGAGTCCTTCAATTTCTTGATTGAGTCCTTCGATAGACGAACGCATTGGAGGCCTTATTGGTTTCACCGGGATATTCATGGGACTTGCTTTTGTACTCAAGCTAAATTGATTGTCTACAAAGATAACTGGCATTAATGATAACACATGTCATCATTTAATTGCTTAATCTTGCGTAGAGAACAATAAGCTTTCGGAAAATTACTCACGCATGGATGTCTGTGAAGCAACTGTACTGGGCAAAAGTACTGAGTGGTCTCCAGGAAGTGGTGGGCCACCTGGCATTATTAGCCCGAATGCCGCTGTCCGCTCTCTACTGCTAGTACCTTCCTTATTTGTACGTTGTAATCTGCAATAAAAATACATTTAAAAAAATCGTATCAATATTCCGATAAACATACAGAACAAATAGAAGATGCAACAATATGAACACACATACCGATGCCTGAAGTAATTCTTCTCCAATTTCTCATCGGTGACAGCTTGTTCTGTGGGATGACGAGTATGCATTTTTCTTGGCTCATTGGAACATTCTTCCGTCTATAATAAAAATAAGAGACACACACACACACACACATGAATCAAAGTGAATGAATGCCAAATAAGTTTTGTGTGACCACAAACAATTGCATTGTTAATATTTTTATGTGTAAACGTTTTTAGAAACAAAATCTACTTGCCTGAGTAGATTTGTCCACCAGAAGACTGGAATGCATATAATAGGAGTCACGTGGCCATTGTCCCTTCAGATAGATGGTGTCTAGAGATGCGGTCCGTCGAATGCTCTGGCTTCCACTTAAGCTATCGCTACAGCGGCCGCTCAGTGTTTTTGATTTGGCTGTAAAATATAATAATATTCGATTAAGAAAGAAGGATAACTTAGAGATCCAATCTGAAATTAGTAAATTGTAAGATTAAAGATATGTATACACATATGCACCAGACCGAACTATAAGCATTATTTTCGGTTGCTGGAACAACTAAAAAGTGTATTTGCAAAATAAAATAATAAGAAAACATAGACATAAAAATAACAAATAAGTACATAGTGTAACCGAACTAAAAATGTCTCTTCGGTTACTGTAATTGCGATTAGTATGCGGCAATGCAGAAATAAATTACTTGGGTTTCTCAACAGTTTTTATTCTTCAAAATAACTGAGAAATGTGTACAATTGAGAGAAATCAAAACATAATCTATAAACTGCACGGAGTTATAAACATATGTTATGATATAGTAAATGCATATTAATAAAAATAAAAAATTAGATACTTACCAAATAACAAATAAACAAATATGGAATTCAATGTATGAAAAAAAAAACATTTTCTTCATTTTGTAAATTGAGTTCAACAATAATAAAGAAAATATAGAAAACTTTTGTGCTCCTAAGTCATAAACGCGGCTTACAAGCCATTCTCTTCTTTTTTCATTTTTCTATTCTGCATTGCAAATAATGAAAAGGAGAGAACCTTGTGTCAAATTGTAAACAATTTGAGGCTCCGAGGTATTTCTATCCGACAAAACATCTCCCACTTGCGGTATATAAACGCAATAAACAGCTTACGTACCTTGGACCGAGTGGTAACGCAAGACGCATTCTTAGGAAAAAAAAAAAATGCTCGTTTAACAAATATTAACTTTGCACAGAGCACTCCACAATTTATGCATACCTCTTCGCTGGACCAGAATCTCCAGTGATTATACATATACTTTTCGAAAAACAAGTGACAAGTACCGTAAGTGGTCCCTTCGAGCTTCGGAGTCATCATCGCTCGTCCCAGCGATAAACGACTCCCAGCGTGCTCGAGGGGTCACGCGCGCGAATACGTGTTCCTCGAGTAAAACGTGCTCCACGAGCACAAAGAACAGGCCCGCGGAAGACAGGGGGGTGGTGGGGTGGGGGTGGGAAGGGGGCAGGAGGAACGGGAGAGGGGGGAGGGGGAATCTCGTACCTTTGTAGGACAGGGATCCGGGGCTCCGCTGTCCCGAGGAAGACGACGTCTCCGGCGAGATGCGCGCCCGCCAGACGGCCGCGTTCGTCGGCGAGACGGTGGGACTGTTGCTGTTGCTCTTGCGAAGACTGCTGCTCTGCCGACCCTGCCTCATGAGCGAGCTCACGGGCAGGGTGGCGCGCATCGGGCCCTGCTTCGAGCATGGCGAGGACTTTCGCATACGCTGCGAGCTCGACATCTTCCCCTCACTTTCGCGGAGCGGCGGCGGTGGCAGCGACGACGACGGCGGCGGCGGCGGCGGCGGCGGCGGCGGCGGCGGCGGTAGCGGTGGCGGTGGCGGCAGCGACGGCGTCGGCGACGACGGCGACGGCGACGACGGTGGCGATTCGCGGATCCGCGCGCGCGGACCGAAGCGGACGCGCACCTGGCGGCTTCCTCCTTGGCTGGCGGCCGCTCTTTCTCTCAGGGCGCGGGAGCTCCTGACGAGTCGCGCGCGCAACCGATTACGACTACGGGCTGGCTCGAGGGACGCCTGGCGCGTCCCGACGTGGAGGCACTCGTGCGCTTAAGCGCTACCACCGGGAGGGTGGATTTTCCGCGCGACGGCCGGAGGTACACCCGAGCGACAGGTCGACGGCGACGGCGACGGCGACGGCGGCAACGGCGGCGCGACGACAATGCCCTACGCGTCTTGTCATTTGCAATGTTCTACTGCTGCTTGCTGCTGAGTGCTGGCTCGGCACGCGCGTCACGTGACCGCCCGTACTCGCTGGCCATTGGTGGCGCGGCGCCCGCGGAGCGTTGTACTACGCGAGGACGTGCGGCACACCGCGTTCCATTCACTACCACCGTAGCGGCCAGCACCGTGGCGAGTGTGGTAGCTAGCGTCCTATCGCCGTCTCGCTCCCTCGCCCGCGAAACCGCCCGTCTCTCTCGCGCGCTCAGGGACGTCAGGCTCCTACGCGCCTAGCCGGGCACCTTGCGGCCGCGTGATACTCGGAGCAGTCTTTTTAAGACGGCGCGTAGCGTGGCGTAGCGTGACGATTACGGTCACACACACACACACACACACACACACACACACTTCGGCCAAACTCCAATTAACTTACCTAATCGCCGATTAATTTCACTGATTTGAATTGCTCGCGACATTTCTATACAATTCGCTGTCCTTGATTTCTAATCTCTTTCAAACAAGAAAAATTAATTTTATTCACGCTAACAAATTATTAGATATTATTTGACAAGTTAATCGCCGATTTAAATCACTTCGATTGGTCGAAGTCATCCTTAAGACTTGGAAAGATTTGTAATTTGAAATATATCGCGGTTCAACATCATTTTTAAACAAGAAATGAAATACCTCTCTTTAATTCCTACAATTTTATTATTTATTATTTCGATTGTAACAATATGCTTAAATAATAAAATAATTAAATATTCAACAATTTACAGCTAGGCATTTAAAAATCGTGTGATGCTGGATTTCATTAGCTTGGCAGGGAAATAAATATCGCGAGCGTTCGTTTAATTAAAACCACTCGGTGAATCAAGCTTACATATTTATTTACAATGTATTTTATGTTACAGCATGATGGAGTCATGATATATAAGTGTTACAGTTATAGCTGACGTATGACTAGATTAAACAATATCAAAAAATACAAACAAGAAATATATATCAGTCTGAGTTTGCATATGGTGTTTCGAATGGGCTGAACGATTCGTATTGTAAAGAAAAAAAAGGGGGGAAAAAAGAATATCGCGTCGATTGGTATGCTACTTATGGTAGACACTTAGGCAACAATAGGACGTTGACGTATACAATATACATATATAAAAATCAGGCTTAGCTTTTAGGATCAGACTTTGAACAAAAAAAAAATGACACACCTTCACGTTACAATCAATGCGTTCTCGATGACTCTAGATACATGTCGAACAACAAATAAGACCAGAAAGTTCGGAGTACAGGTCTATACATAGTTGCGTAATCGATACAGATCACTGCGACGAAAGTTCTGATTTGATTCTCGATCTGCACAATTCCATTTCCATTTTAACACTTCGACACGTTACGTCGCACGTACATACGTGAACACATTTTTCGCTAGGAATCACAGAATTTTTTGTGACTTAGGAATATCTTGATTTCTTTCATTTAGTTCTCATCAGTATTCATCATTCATATATATAATTCATATAGATAATGATAGAAAATGTTTTTTTATCCTTCTTTTTCTCGCTATTTTTAAGATAGGTGAATTGATTTAGGCCAATAAACGAGCAAAAAATTTTTTTGGTTGTTGATACAAGTTAATATATTTCAAATTTAACAAACATTCGCGATATTTTTGTTAAATTTGAAATATATTAACTTATACAAAAAATTTTTTGCTCGTTTATTGGCCTAAATCACACAATTCACCTTCTTTTTCTCTCTTATAATGGCACTAGATAATAGTCGAATTCAATGAAAGTACAGAAAACGATGTGTGATTAGCAAATATCCGTTAGGATGTGATCGTGAAACGATCAATGAGTTTTCGTCAGAAATTTTCAAGAATTTTTATATCAGCACTCTGATGCATCTCCACTCATTTTTATCCAAATGTTCATGATTCCCAAGAAAATGTAAATACGATTTGTAACGATCAAAGTGTTAAGCGCACACGGATCGATTTGAACAAAAGATATACATATATCAATACATATATCAATCGTCATAAGATATAAACCGTACGGTGGCATCTTCTCAATAAAGGCACTGTTATGCTTTTCGCTAAGGACTAACGTGATAATGCGTTTTATAGTGACTCGTATTCGTACATACATACAAGCAATATGCGACAGTTTATATTAAATGTAGCCTACGATAGATCACTCTGCAAAGCAGTTCGCAAGGAATGTCGTATCTCTACGATACAGTCCGGAAAAATAGGAAGCTACTGAAAGATTTTTGCACTCGCTGCAAAAATACAAATCGCAAAACTCATTATTATTCATTTTCATGGAATTTAAATTACATATTGTATTCAACATAGCTATGCACGTTCTAAAGTGGTGTCTACAATGAAATTTTAAGGCTTAAGATTTAAGAAATTATCCAATCGCAGTCGAATTGTGAGAAGAATAATTGACTGTAATTGATCAATTTTCTTAAATCTTAAGCCCTAGTCTCTTCGTAGACACCACTTGAGAAAGATTTTCACGATGCAGGGATTTGATTAGGATTTGTCGATGTTAACATGGCAAACGATTCTAAAAAAAAAAAAAAAAAGAAAAAAATGCAACTCGTCTATAAATCACGTAAAAGATAAAATGGCATAAAAATGTTAAGGCTAACTATTTTAAGAATTGCATTCTATGTAGATATAAGTATGTTACGTGAAAAAATATTCTCCTGCTTTAAAGAAATAGAGACTGTAAGCCGTACGTATGTAAGTTTATCACTCTCAGTGTCAAGAAAGTAAGTATCGAAGAATAAGTAGATATGCATCATGATGATATTTAGCTAACACCTCATTATTGTAAAGTCTTCAGACGGGCGTTAAATATTTCCGGATGTACGTAAAAAGTAATCGCGCAATAAATCCTGCTGCTTAAATTTTCACGCCGGTCCTTCGTAATTTAAATTACATTTTAAAGCAACTTAAACAATGTTGTGTCTCAACAATGTCTCAAGAATGAAGTTGTTCGCACGGTGAAATTTATAAAAAGGGATTGTCTTTTCAATAACAAATTCAGTTATGACGAATGACACTATAGGCCTCCAAAAAAGCGCGTCATTGTCGAGAGAATCAATATCATGTCTTTCACGAAATTTAGAAAATATTTCTAGACATATAAACAAATCATGTAGCCAATTCTATCAAAATGTATGATAATACTGAAAAAATATATGTACAATTCTTATCATATTTCTAACTATTTGCATAGCTATCTTACACTAATCATAATTTACGTTTTTTAATTTTAAGTTAATTAAAAAAATCACGAAGTGCCAAAGTGGGTAACCCGAATTTCTTGTTTATTAGGAACACAAGAAACGTTTGCGGGCAATAAATGCTACAATGTTTGAAAGTAAAATAACAAAGAGAAAATAAAAAAAAATAAAAAATAGGCTTTCCATATTACAAAGAGCATCGATTAATAAATATAGTAAGAAATGTGACATATACATTAAAATATAAAATGTGAAGCAATTAAAAAATATCAAGTTTAAGAAAAATGTTTTCATGACTTTAATGAAAATGCTCATAGTTCAATGAATTTTTTTTATCTCAATAATATGATATTCAAGCAATCATATTGATTGATTTTACGTAATGCAAAGCTCTATATTCTGTCATGACAGGGATGTGAAATAATATGAAACGGCAGTGTATGTATATATAATACTTCTATAATATTATACACCCGCGAATAATAATACTCTCCTTGTTGAAAGAAATCAAGACTAGAAGTTGTTCAGATTATATTGATAGTCTAATGCCACAATGCAACCTTTTTTATAATTAACAAATTTATAATACGTTAGCTTAAGAAAAAATCTAATCTTGTGAGAATATACTACAGCAGTTGAGAAATCTCTTTAAGCATTAAATCGGTTGATTGTGAATATTAATTGAAAACGGTTTTTTTTGTTTGCGCAATAATTACCGCGCTGATTCATTAGCCTATTACATTCGAATTGTTGGTTTTTTTTATCTAAAATGATAGAGATTTACTTCTTTAATTTTATTTTTATTAATTATTGTTTTATTTTTCATAGAATAAACATTTTTGTAACTTCAATTCAATTTTATCTTAGACAAGTTTGTGCTTGTACAACAAATCAGAAACATTTGGATAAATCCAGATATTTAAAAAATTTTGAAAAAAAACTTGTTAACAAGAAAAATACAGTTTCTTATAGATTCATTAATAAAAAGACAGTGATAATTTTTCAATTGAACATTCTGTGGCATCCAGATTCGTTGTAGTTTTGGAATAAGATAAATAACTTTCAAGCACATGGATAAAAAGGAAAGAATTATCATTCACCGATGTATCTAGATCAACAACAGAATTGTTTTATGCATTCAGACGATTAAATATTAATCGCGATGACTTAAAAAAATTATCAAATACAAAAAAATATACATACGATAAGTACTGAGCATTTCAAGTGACTTTGTTTTATGAATGGTGAGAACTTTGTAGTTTCACAGATATGCAGAAAACGGGGGAAAGCAACATTGAACACAAAAGAAATTAAATAAATTTTACAGGTAAAGGGACAAAATATAAATTGTAATACGGTGATGTATATTGCAAACCGAAGTTAAAATAAAATAGTAATGTCAAGTTTATCTTTGACATTACTATTTCATCTTCATGTCTTATACTAATTTATAAACTATATATAAAAATTTATAAAAACATAGGCATTACATTCGTAATATGTGATGTTACAAGTTCCACAAAAACCTGAATAAATAAATTCTAAATTAGACTGACTTTTGGTACCTTCGCAATGGGCGTTTTCTTTCCCCCTCGCGATTTGAATTTTCATGCTTAAACAAACAACGACGTTCTACCAGTACCTGTATTTTTTTATACAATCATTGCCCAAGTCTACCACCACTAGGTGATTATCTGGCAGCACGGCTATGCCCGAGGGACGTCGCAATTTCGAGCTGTGCGAGTCGATTTCGGTTAAGACATTACCTCCGCCTAACTGCAGTACGTGTATTATGCTACGCCCCTTGTCCGTACGGGTACCGATTACTTTGCCGTCCGCATCTACGGCTATTCCTCCGTAGACACCTTTTCCTGTTGTACAGATAAATAACAATATGCTGAGATGTTTATCTTCATCGCGCGACGAGATATATATTTCCTATTATTGTATATGTAACGATTACGTATTTCTTGAATCAATTTTCAGTCTAACGATATTTCAAACAAATATATGTAGCTATATGCTACGAACTTACCTTTGCCTTCAGGATATATTTCCTCGGAGAAATCTCCCTTCGCGGAAAACACCTGAATTCTGCTGTCGGCAACTAAAATCTCACCGGCCGGACCGACAGTCACAGAACTGATTAGCTTGAACGTGCTTCTTTTACCAACCTGTTAACCGTTTCGTGATGATTATGCGAGGACCATATACGACGCAACTTGCAGTGAAAGTTAATAAATTTACGTAAAAGAAAAATTAACCTGGAACAGTATCTTGCCGTCTGAGTCGAATACGAATACACAGCTTTGACCGTTGTCAGCGACAAGTATGTGCCCGTAGCTCTTGTCCACCGCAATGTCTATGGGTTCCTGGAGAACGAAAGGAACAACGTCGTAAATAAGAAACATTTCAGTAAAATATTTCAGACTTTTTTGCAATAATAATTACTTACTTGAAACGCGTTGTGCGTGAAAGACCTGATTGTGTCACCCAACGAAGTCATTTCCGTAATCTTTCGCGTCCGCCAATTTACAATTACGAGACCTTGTTGAGAAATATCTATTCCCGTGCAACTGCGACCCTCTAAGCCTTCATTGTTTATGTGCCTCTGAAACTCCAAATCACAACTGAGCACCTGAAACAAAATACGAAAAGAATTAAGTAATTTTGCTGCGTGCAAATATTGCATTCTTCATATTGTTTGTCAAACACAAACCTTAATACGAGAATTTCCAGTATCCAAAATATAGATCATCCCTTCGTCGTCCACCGCGACCGAAACCGGCTGGTGAAACTCGTCTTTCCCATTACCGCGTCTTCCATATATTTTAAGAGGTTCATTGTGCTCGGTCGCGTCGAAAAATAGCGGATAATCTTTTATAGGACGATCGAACACCGACACCTTCAGGACGTATCGACTTGCAGTCGGTGGCCGGAAGTAAATTTCGTAAGTTCCATTCTCCAGATCTTTCACCTCCGTCTCGATGGGAGCGTTCTGATTTTCCGCGTGTATGTTATCTGCGAGCGTCAATTCGGCGCTGACAAGATCACCGCCGATATTCCGAGGGTGACCGTGATAATCTACCGTTTCGACTATGACGATTGTTTGCAGCTTTACTATTGCTAGGTCTTTCAATCTGGCACGGCACAAGCCTGAAACAAACGTAAAAGGCATAGATGTAGAAAATACGTCGTAATAAACCATGACGCTGGATTATAACATTAGAAAAAAAGATATATTATAATAAATAAGAGTAATATTATATATTATAATATAATTATTTTACTATAATAAAATTTAATGTATTATATATTATAATAAAAATATTTTATTATATATTTTTTCATAAAGTGTTATAATAAATGAGTAATACTTTTTAAAGCGAATACTTTATTATATTATTAATCTTTAAGATACCTGGTAATGTTGTACTAGAACGTACTCGTCCCAAATTACCCAGTGCTTGCTCTAATTGGGAGAGAGCGTCGTTATGATTAAACTCGAATGTGATAAAGGCATTCTCCTTGGGTTCGCTGAGAGCGGTCGCCGCATCGAGCTGATCTGACAGGCTGTTAATACGTTGAGTAATATTCCGAACCTCGACCTGTAAGATTAAATCTCACTGTGTAAAATGATACGCGCGAGAGAGGTAACATTATATATCAATATATTTTTTATTACCCTCTACCTGATATTGTAATCCTTCGCATTCTCTCTCGACTTTGGTTTTCTCCGCCTCAATAAGAGAATGTTGTTCCTCAAGTACGTGTTTCTTGTCACGAGCGGCAGCGGTTACGGCAGCTTGCAATTCCGTTCGACGTTTCTCTATCTTTGCGATAATCACGGCGAATTCCGTGTCTACCGCGCTCAAACATTTTTCCGTAGAGGCTTCCAAACGTTGCAGTTCCGTGCTCACAGAATCCTGTGCCTGTGTTAACTAAAAAACGTAACTCTTAACTCAGTAAGGATCGAGCTACATCTCGTATTACAATTTAATAATTCTCACAGCTTAATTTGTACTTAATATGCAAGTATAACACATATAAAAATTAAACACTACAAAAATACTACGACTACTATTATAAAAATTGAGACACATCTTTATAAAAAAAAAAATTGTAAAATATAAGTGACATGCTTCTATTTTAAATGATATTTTGGCTATAGTAAGAATTAGATATGCATTTGCAACAAGACATATAAACCATATAAAAACGAAACAAGTATATAATAAAAAAGAAATAAAAATAAAGCACATTAAAAAAATATATCTGCTTGTTAATATGAGGCTTAAATTGCTTAAAGCTTAAAAAGAAAAACTAATTTTCACCTTGGATATACACTCGTTGGCTTTATAAAGCAATATTTCGGACATTCTTTTTATCGCAATACTAAAGGGGATAATTGTGTGTTCTGTGCATCCAGGTGACGTTCCCGCATGTGTCCCACCAGTACACACTGTACAGAACACTGTATCACATGTTTCACAAAATAATAATTCCTGATTTATATGAACTGAACACTTTGGGATGACCTGCAAGTAAATAGATATAACGATATTGAGGCTATTCGAGGGAGAAATTGATCTGCATTAAGTGACAGTTCTGCGTTCTCAAACGTACCTCTCGTCTTTGCCGAGACATAAGGTCAAGCAGTTGGTTTACGAGAAAACTCGGAGGCAGTGCGGGTACCCCTCCACGAGGAATAGTTATTAATTCTCTACAAATGGGACATCTAAACGCTCCTGTCTCTCGTGTTTGAGACGCGGCAATTCTTGTTAAACAATGTAAACATACCTATAAAAAGAAGATACAAGATCAAGATATATATATGATATATGCAATGTACATGTAAATTACATTTTATCCTATACGTAAATCGTACCGTGTGTGAGCATGGTAGTAATTTAGGTGTATGCTCGCTGCCATCGTAAACGCAGAGACAAGTGCCACACGTTAAAAAACTTTCATTAAAATCTTCATAATTTATACTGACTGTCTCTACGAGCATGGAGCTCATGCTGACCATCCTCTCCCCAAGCCGCGTCCTAAAAGAAATGAGAAAAATTGAAGTCAAATTAAAGTCAACATAATTAACAACATGATTAAATATTAAAAAATAACATTGTATATAAATACAATATACATAACATACGTGGAAATTATGTAATTTAGATGAGAAGATAAATTAAAATTATATAATTCACATATAATCATTAGAGGATGAGTTGTTTAAAAATAACTCCTTTGTAGATTTGTGTAAAGTTTCTGTAAGAAATTTTACGTTCCAATTTACAATTATTAAGATCAACAATACGCATAAAAATTACATTCTGTAATCAAAATTTTGACACACTTTTGCCAGAAATATGCTAAAACAAAAAATACATGGACAGCTATGTAGACATAGACTCTCAATGTCAATTCGATCAATTGCTTCTTGCGTAAAAGCGTGACCAAAACAATTTATCAATGGGGATGCATCTGCCGAAAAAAAAGGAGCACTCACTGTATGGCTAAACGCAACGCTTCCATAATGGCTATATATTCTGGTCGCCGCTCTATCTAAAGTACCGCTCCACCATCCGCACGTCAACGCACGCGGCCCTGTCACTCGAGTTTCCTCGGGAATCTTGAGATATCCAACGATCACGGTGCATGTCGCGCTAACGCGTCACCCTCGCTGTTGCCGAACGCAGGAGAGAGAGAGAGAGAGAGAGACAGATGATTCACGGTGGAAAACGCAACCGCGTCGTCGAATTGCGACGGACAACCCCGAGCGCGTTGCGCTGGATCGATTCCGAATTCCTCGCGGACGAGGTGCCCTCGAAGATCGTCCGTCCGTCAGTCCGTCCGTGAGTCCGTGCGTGCGACGTCTCCTACGGCCGCATGTCTCGCGGATGCATATAAATAAAATATGCGCCCGGTGACGCTCGGTGACTGCTCGATGATCGCAGCCCACAGGGGGGTCCGTCCGCGGCGGTTACGAAGAGCGAGCCCCGCGCGCGCGTGTGTGTGTGTGTCCTTTCGGCCCGTCGGCCCTTTGTCTACCTCCGCTCCTCACGTCTCATCACGTCCGGACGGAGCGGATTCACGCACGCGACATCGAATTCCGCGCGCCGCATCGCGCCGCGGACTGCTGCTGACGGTCTCTCGGCGACGGTTTCCCTCGAGGGAGGGGGATCTCCTCTGGCGAATTTTCTTCCGGGAGCACCGGTCGGCCGCCCGGAGGGGAGGCTCGAGGTCTCGTCGCGCACTCACACACGGTCGCCCGCGATCGCGAGATCGACGGCGGGATCAACGGGGACACGACGTCGAAATCGTCGTATCCCGACGCGGCGCATTTTCTTTCCCAAACAAAACACAGACGGACGCGCGCGGGACGACGACGGCGGGTGGCGCAGCCAGCGAGCCGCATCAGCTGCAGAGCGCAGCGAGCAGCGGACTCGTGCACGTTCGTGCGTGCTACAGCTGCGCGCCGCGTTCGTCGCCCGCGGCTGGCCACCCGGCATCGCCGTGGCACGCGCGGGGGTGCCCGCGAGCACGGATTTTCGATGTAGCTTCTACACCTATGTCGCAACTTCGTCGTCCTTGCCAATGACTTTTAATCTACATTGATTGGACATTAGTTGTTTCGGAGTACTGCTTACTTCTATTTTTCAGAGTAATTCAAATTGTCTAGGATTATGGATTATTACTCCCAATCTTAACAAGGTCACTTAATGTCGTTACGTTGTAAAATAATCAAAGTTCGAAAGCACGACAGCGAAATAAAACGAAAGTAATGCTTGACTGAAGATTTCTTGCTTTAACTAGGAAGTGCGTGTTCTGAATTACACGAGCAGCCACGGAAAGATATTTGTATAATGATTCATTTCTAATTGTAATTATTAATTTTAATTTTCATGAGTACTAAAAAGAGATAGAAAGGAAAGTAAACCGAGATTAAAGTTAATTTACGTAGGAATAAACAAAATTTCAATTTACCGGAAGGACACAAATTTGAAGCGAGTTCTTCGGTGGCGGCGTACGGTCCTGGGGGGGAATCGGTCGCGATATACCGTGGCGCCGGCGAGTGCGAGAGGGACAGCGGAGAGCGGTGAGTGGCGGCGAGCGCGAGGAGCCGAATCGCGGAGGAGAGCGTGGGAGAGATGGGCAATGCGCCGTGTATCGCGCATAAAGAAACACGCGCGTGCACGGCCGTGTAAACCCGTGAACTCTCCACTGCGTAGTCGTTCCGAAAGGTGCAGCGACCGGCGTGTTTGCGCTTGTACTTGTGGCGGTGCGGATTCACGCGCGCATTGGTACGTATTTATATGCGTCACGGCGCGTGTGTGCGTGCTGTGCGTGGAGTTGCATGCAAACGATCTTTCGAAAACTCGACGTTAGATTATTAATCGTAGAGAGATTCATAACGTAGAATTTTGAAATTATCTTCGATTCTTTTGTTATACACTTGTCAGTGGAATTTATTTGGAAGAAAAAGATGCATTTGAAAATTTTCATTTTGGCGACACCTTTTTACGACTCAACATTCTCACTTCTGGTCTTATTAAAAAAGAAACAAATATATATTTAAAAAAAGAATGTAAATATATATACATATCGTTGCGTCGCCGTAAGTGACACAAGTAAAAAATTAGCATTTTTGAAATAAACAAAAGGAAATCGATTCTAAGAAGACTAATACTTTTGTAGAAAAACGATATATTTGTAGCTCATTTACTTAAAAAATGTCGCAATTCTGATAAGGAATTAAATTTATATTATACCAGGATTGCAATGTTCTAATCAGTTCTAATTTCCAAAATTCATTTTTACTTTACTAAAAATGCTTTACTGAAAAGTTGCTAATCTTTTGAAATTATTATTTTTCTATCGACGCAAAATCTAGTTAAAAAAATTTATGTGTACATGTATAATTTTTTTAAATTAAAAATAATATAATACTTTTAAAATAATAAGATATTATATACATATATAATACTTGTATAATTTAAAAATATAAATCAGTTATATGTAATTATATCACGTTCGTGAAAATTTATCGCACACACAAAAAAAAATAAACAAGATACGTGATACTCACATGAAAGGGCAGCAGCTCATGAAGCTTTCTTTGATAGCAAATCTCAGATTACTTCCGTAAGCACGATCCGAACTGTTGCCAGCCAAAAATGATCTCACGCAGCCATAACGCTTTCCTTCATTTCCTCTTTACGAACAAAAGGCCCACATACAGGTATATAGGTACTGATCCCTCGATTACTTTAAAATATCCGTGGCGGCCACCTGTCTGATGCACCAAGATAAAATTTGTGTCGTACTTGTCAAAACGTTATTATTGCCCGCGTCATGCAATTATTACAGCTACGTGACATTATGTTTTTATATCCGCGCGTCGCCCGTTCGCGAAAGATATCTCGATAAGAGCCGTAAAAATAACTCGCGAGTATATCTTTAACGCGCTTTTATCATTTTTAACGATTCCGCCGCGCTGTTAGACGCTCGATAAAACCGCGTATTTGTACGTTATACGGAATTTCGCGTCGAAGGTCTTAACATATCCTTTCTTCCTCGCGGTCCGCCGCACATCCGTTAAATTCATTGAAGGGATCTCTTCTCGGAGGTCCCCATCCGAGATCGATACCGCGCTCACGTGCGCAGAAGAAACGTAAACAAGTGTCGCGAGCGCGTATATAAACACGGCGAACGGAAGCGCCGCGCCGCCGTCGTGTCGCGCCGACTGAGAAACCGTATCAACGCGATATCGGAGCTTTTTACTGCGACAGACTATCTCTTCTCGTTAAAAGCGATGCATCCGTCGGTGCGTTAACCCCTCAACGGCCGGAATCGATGACCGGCGGAAATTGGCGAGTATCTCGACAAATGACACCTGACGCCTCTTCGAATTCCGCCCATTCGCACGTACTTTCGACGAGGATGTCGAGGATATGGAACATGCACTTTTTATCTTTGCACACTTAATTGTTTCACAAATTTTTGATTGACGACGCGCGAGGCGGCTATACGTGTGAAACGGAGAATTTGCAAAAAATTATATAGGTATTTGCAGTTAGTCTTTTTTGCATTGCACGAAAGGAAGATATGAAAACCGGGAGATCAATGTTCTCAGTTTGCAACGCACATATCACTTCGTTATTCATCCGCTAACTCCCAAAGATATCTCGACGCGCAGTTTTGCGCGCGCGCGCGCGCGTTGCGAGTTGCGCACATTTTTCTCATTAAAATTACACACCGAGAAAACAAAATCCAGACATCCTTCGCCGAGCCGACGAGACGCGTAAAGCGGAAACGATCGCACGACGAAGCCTCGGCGAGTCTGTGTGTCGGGGAGGAGTAGCCTCCGGGAGAGAAGACGCAGCCGCGGATACTCACTGGATCCCTGAAGGATGTTTCTCTCTGCGGCGCGCTACATCACCCACGACGGTCCGCGACAGGATGGATCTGTCGAGAGGAGGTCACAGGAGGCGCCGCTCCGACGGGGACATGATCGCGTCCGCTGTCACCCTTTCGCGCGCGGTTTTTTCCCTTGAGAACCTTTGCAAGGACGAGAGCGGATATCGATCTCTCGCGCTGCAGCAGGTGTCACGACGCCAGCTGTCGTGTTTTCGCACTGCAAGGCGGCAACCACGGCGACGATGACGACAGCGAGACGGCGAGAAAGGGAGAAGAGCGTGACAGAGAAAGAGGGGTTCTCCGCGCGCCACGGGGGAAACGAAGCGGGGATGAAAACACACCCTCAGGAGCGCGCACGCGCGCGCGTCACGCTATTTAGGTCACGCGGCGCGCGGGCGCGACGCGCGCGATTTATTCAGCTGGAGAGGACGTCTCGCGATGACTCGGCCCGACGACGATGACCCAGGCGCGCCTGTACTTCCACATCCTGGACGCCGATTATGTAACTTGGAGTGGCACTCTTTTCATTTTCCGCTCATTCTGATTCCGCGTGAACTTTTCACTGATCACCAGAACGATCACAAGTCGATGACACAATTGCATGCCGTAATATGGCTCATCGTTACAAGAGGCCATTGACGTCATGATATTTTCGTATGTTAAGTTTCGTCATTTCGTAGGTTTCTCGAAGAGGTGAAAACCGCGCCTCCGTTTGGCTATAAGAATTTTAGAATTAAACTGGTGTTTTTTTATCAGCGCGGTTTTCAAATTTTACGCTTTAAAATACATTAAACTTAACTGTAATTTTTTAAAATTCATTAATGATGTCTGACGATTTTATATCGACGATTTTATATATAATTATATAACAAAAATATTAACGATAAATGTGTTAAAGAGCATGCTAAATCAAGAAAATTCACAAGAAACACTTTTCACGTTTCCGCTTCTATATAGGAAAAAATTACGTGATCGCTGCTCCGATCGATTTTCCTGGATTTTTTTGTCGAATGAGCTCAATAAGGCTCGAAAGTTCGTATAAGGGCGAGAATATTTTGCGGAGCTTTTGAGAAAGAAGGTAGCAAGAAGTCGCGTATTATCTACAAGAAATTAAACGAGAAATTTTCAAGTTTTAATGACGGTATTCATATAGTCCGAACTTATATTTAAGATCATCTTAATTAAGTGTGATTTTGAAATACGTTCATTATTAACTGGATGAAGTCTTAAGCTAATCTGAAATCAAAATCTGATATCAGATTATCAAAAATAATCAGACTTAAAATGATCCTAAGTCTAAATATAAGATCGAATTATGAATACTGTCTTAATGAAATGATTAAAATATACAGTTGCGCAAATGGCAAAATGCTTCACCTTGCAGTGTCGCTGCATTTGGTAAGCAACTTTCGCTCTTAGAAAAATTTAGTACTGTATAAGTGGTGTAAGGCGATGTCTGAATGTGTATTAAAGATTTATAAAATGCAGGCATGATTTTCTCGGTTTTTTTTGCCGATGACAAGCAATCTCACAAATTCTGCGAAAGCATTCACGAGGAGTACGAGATACTTGCCAGGACCTCCTCAATTTTCCGAAAGAAATTCGACAACGGGTCCTCTTCTAAACTTCGAGAACGAATACCGGCGCATATCAAGCCGATTATCTTTAACATTGAAAGAATATCGGTGACAATTGACTATGATACGCGCGACGTTCGATCGACGTGTTATTGCGAAACCGGCGAAGCGCATCCTTGGCCTAGATCTTCAAGAGATTTCGAAGAGATATCACGGCTATCTGATCGCGCGTCGATCTTCTTCACTATCCGCGACAATGACGTTCTGTCGATCGACCGAACTACCGATTTCGTGCCCGCCTCTCCGCACCCTCGACTTTATTCCGCGCGCGGAAGCCATCCATCTGCCCGGCGTGGATATGTGCCGCGACGTTTTTACCCTTAAAGCAACGTCGGATATACGGTTTCGAGCATGCGCCGCTGGAAATGGGTCATTAGGAGCTTGACCGAAATCTTCGGCTTCGGCCCCAGGATTTCGCGCTAGTTCCTTAAAACTCGCCGATCGTTAATCGGCGGGAAGCGGCGCGTGACTTGCGCGCCGTGCATAGTGCCGAGAGACAATCCGCGATTCTTTTTGTCAAATGAGGAACTTAAAGTCGCTTTCGTGTTTACTTTAATTGTAAGATAACGAAAAAAATTGCTTGACAGTTACTGTAGAAAATTTTTTTTATGTATTTTATACAAATCTTTATTAAGATATTTAAAATTTTATATAAATTTTTAAAATAACACGAATAATTATTTTTTTCAAATTTTTCCAATCAAGAATATAAATAATAAACAAATGGTTTATAGTACAACAAATTTCTAAATCCGTATTAAACACAGAATTATAAATACTTTAATTCATAAATTCATATGTATGTACATTCCAGGCTTGTGCTAATTCATATCTAAGTATTTTATATTAATATAATAATAAAATATTAACACAATAAATATTTTATTTCGTTAAATAAATATTATTGTAAAAAATTTAATTATTATAAATTAATTATTAGCATTAATTATTATAACGCAAATAGTTTAAATATGAAATACGCACACCTCAAATATATCACGGTATGCATGCGATTTCATGCATTAAGGACATTTGTAAGTCCCTGTATGTACACAGCTATGAGGTTCATTCTGCTTGAAGCGACATAACGTCTACTGTTGTGGAAATTATGCTAATGCCAATTATGCACAATTGCAATATTCAGTTAATCTAGATCATGTTACGTGGCCGCGTAGGCTATCGTTTGTGAAACACGCATCACGAATACGTGTACCCCGTTTGTCACTAATACTATCATCGCATTTGTATAATATAAGAAAAAGAAAAATAATTTAGCGTAATAACTTATTGATAATTAATTGTAGTATTCTTATTGCAAGTTTTATAATTTTATATTTTATATTTAATTTGCATCTAATTAATAAAATATATCAACACAAAAATATAATATTATTTTTATTACGTAGATTTCGTAAGTTAATTAATTGTTGAAAAAAGAGCATACGTTCTTTTTCCGATCTTCTCGATTATCGCTTGTTGAATTTTCAATCGGAGAGTCGTATAGCGGTTTCAGGTTAAAAAAAAAAAAATGTTTGGCAAAACACGTTTGTTTAGTCTCGGCATGCAGCTGCAGAGTTTAAGTCACCCTCGCTTGAAAATTCCGCCTCAATCGATTGAGATACTTATTTATAAATGTGATTTAAATTAAATCTTATTTATAATAAAAATTCAATTTATTATTCGTTTATATTATTCATTATTCTCGGATTATTCGCATTATGTATCATTTATTTTGGTATTCCGTTTCTGTTAGAAACGGAATTAAATAGGACTTAAATAACATGAAGAAATATGCTTATAAATTTATTTAATTATTTATTACATGCAAACGGTATTACACGAATTACTTTAGAGAAATCATAAACGCTGTATCGGAAGTAAATTTTCTGAACTCACGATTAAAATGAAATTACGCTATTATTTGACAATTAACTCCTTAATGCGGGATTGAGGAGTCATTTTTGTAACATAAGATGTATTTATCGTTGTTTCACAAAATTGTAATTGTTACAAGGAATTTTCGACTCGTGATCGATTTATACGGAATTATCCTCTTGGGTATGCTTATTGATCCAGTTCAGATAGGGGAAAACTCGCGTGTACATATCCGGACGTCCTTTAGCGCAAGGTATTCCCCAGGACACCACGCCGATTTGCTTACCGTCGGCTACCAGAGGACCGCCAGAGTCACCCTACGCACACATAATGTAGTAAGAAATTTTTTCTTCTAAATGTTGTTTTGACTCCTTTTCAAGCAAATTATAATTGCAATTAAAATTGCAAACTTATGTTTATATTATTAGACTATAATATTGTGTATAATTAAATTAGTATGTTTTGTGTAATTAAATTTATATTCGATGTACGCATATCCAAAAAATATCTTCTTTTTTTTTAATATAATAATATGCTATTTTCATAAAATGTTGTTTTTTTTTTCTTTAGTTTTGCATATTTTTGTAATGCGATTGTTACGATTTTAGAAATATGGAATTAAAATAATTTAAAGATAAGTTTTCCAAAATTAAGCGCTTAAATATTAAATATATATTAAATGATAGCATTTAATGCTATCAATGTTTGTAAAATGTACGGTATTGCCGATATCAAACGTCTCTTCGTAACGCGAACGGGCTCTCCTCCCAGATACTCAATCAGACTAGAATTTTACTTACGTGACAGGCACCCTCGCCCTGTTTGTTGAATGTGCAGATGTTGTTGTTGGTGACGCGATAGCTGGTGCTTAAGCATTGCTTTTGATCGATGACTGTGAGCTGAATGTGTTGCAATTTGTTCGGCGTTTCCCCCGGATACTGTAATAACCCACGCGAAATGATTATTTTAAGTAATCCGAAAATGATCATTTAAATTAATCCACCAATTTAAATGATCATTTAAATAATCATTCGAAATACCAAAATACTCATTACTCGTTTAAATTCACTTTGTTATTTAATTAATGAGGAATACAGAATATCTCAAATTGGTGAAAAACGGTCTTATTCAACAAATAATAAGAGAAAAAGAGACAAATTCGGTCAAGGCTAGATGTTGGTTGCCTAATAATATTTTTAATGGGTTTTAATATTATTTATATATTATTTATATATAAATAATAATAATACACATTAATTTATAGATATGCAACACGCTGAAATGTTTATATCTGTCAACACAACGTTGAGCAAGTTTTTTATATTTACATTGGTTGTGCCCCAGCCTGACAACGTCGCCGGATAATTGGATTTGTCGAAGTATTTGGTGGGCAGATCAATCGGTTTCACTTTGTCTCCGAAAACGATATCCTTGTTTAGCTTAATCATTCCGATGTCATTTCTGATGAAGAAGGCATTATAATAGGGATGTGCCCATATCTTGATTGAGGAGTACTCATCGCCACCTTCGTCCAAAGTATTCGTGCCCAATACAACATTGATGTCCGTGGCGTCAAGACTATTTATTAGATTATGAAATAATTAAAATAACTAATATATATGTATATATAATAATTACATAATAATAATAAAATAATAATAATAATAACAACAACCAATCAATACAATAATTATACATTTTATACTATCTCAAGCATAGCTCTTGCCATAAATGTTTAATTTATAATAAAATTTTTAAAATTTATTTTTATTTGTTATTCTTTCAAGAAAATACAACAATTAGTCAAGATTAATTACAAATGGTTTTTAATATAAAATAAATGTAATTAATAGTAGATTTGTTAAAAAATTGTGGAATATATTATTTAATTGTTATTAAAATAAAAATATTATTATGTGTGAAATAATTTTACAACAGCCGATGTAAGCACGTACCCGGACACGCAATGAGCAGCTGTAAGGATATGTCTTTTATCTATAATAGAACCTCCACAGAAATGACGGCCCTTATGACGAAGAGATGCCTGATAAGGATATTGACCTTCATCGGCAAGATTGCCGCCCACGATTTTCGGAATATGTTCGATTGACCCGGCTGTGCAATTATAAAAAAATTATAAAAAAATCTTTCACATGAAAAGATTCCGCAATATCGTATTATTTACATACAATACGTTGAAATATTTCCAGCAATAACTCTAGGCATCGATTTTACTGAATGATTTCGATCTTTTTATTATTATTGCTTAAATTAGTAAATTAAAAATATGCAGTACATTAACAAGCTTAAATTAATAATAGATCGCTAGTAAATAATATAAAATAACAGAATAGAAAATGAACTTTTAATTTTATTTAATACATTTAAGATTTATATATAGTTTAATCTATACGTGAAACATTTTCAGCAAAAAATGGATTTTATGACAGTTGATTCGATATATTTTATAACTATTTATCAAATTTATTTTCGAATCAAAAAGAAGATCCTCATATATTTTATTAATTCATATTTATTCGAATTTGTGTTGAAAAAAATTGCAAAGGAGTGGAATTGCAAAAAAAAAGAAATTTTGACACTTTTACCTGAGAGTCCATGTATTGCAACAATACTTAAAATGCAGAATATCGACAACATTTTTCAGTAGACGGTAATATCAATCAACAGAACTTTATGGACTGTATTCCACAATGTTTGGTAGTTTAATGCCAATTTTTGCGTTTGTCCACTACCGGCTCTTATATATTTATACAGTAAACGATGACAATTAAGGAAACGTCGGACATTTAAATTTAGGTCAGACATCACCGGCCATCAAAAGAAAATGCATGGTCCGGATGTATCTCACGCACGATGATAGGTAGGGTGATATGTCGCTACGAAAATTTATGGGCGGATATAGTTGCTATCATTGCTGTAGAAAAGAGCGTACTGCTGAAATATCTAAATTACAATTCAAGCATGATTTGGACTACTATAGGCGCAATGGAGATAGGTCAATAAGCAATAACTAATGATAATTTAATAAAGTCTAAATACATCGAATTATTGAAATTTATTTGAAAAATTTATTTATAAATTAATTTTGCTTTTATACGTTTCAAAATAAAATAAGTGTAAATATTTTATATATAGAGACTGCTATTATGATTTATATTATGATTTTACGAAATTCAAAATTATTTTTAGTTATTTTAAGTTAATTAATTAAAACTATAAAATTATTTTGTTTAAGAAATATTTTTTTACATGTTATTTTCATCACTTTCATTCTAGATGTGTTTAAATTTACAGGGCGCAGTAGGCAAAATATAATTACATAATTAATGGTATAAAAATGCCAATCGCATTTAAAAACACTGTAAAATATAGAATATGTAACACAAATGTAATTGCGTAATGTAAAAATGTAAATAACGAATGTTTTAGAAAAACATGTACATAATACGCGCGTTTATGCGTATTTATACTTTCGCTTATTGTAAAATAAAAAAAAATAGACGTATGAAATGCATTAGCAACATTTTTGAAGAACATTTTTGCATACCATTTGTACCAAGAAAACTTGAGCAATAATATTATTCTCAGTATCGTGAATTTATGGCATACGGAACGTGTGTTAATTGTATTCTGCGATAATTCTATATTTCGCATAATCACATCATCAGCTATTCAATTTCAGGGGAACCGATATACGGCATGTCAGATAAAAATTAATTGTTGAAAGTTAATTTCAACCTCGCACTTGCGCTCGTATCTCCTCTGATACATTTATCGAGTCTGGTAACTTGATAACGCATGTTTTTTCGATATGTTAATATTCTTTTAAGGAAATGCATTTCCTTAAAAATGTTAACGTATTACTAAGCCGAAAAAATATGAAAAGGAATCAAATGAAATAATGGAAAATTAATTGAAAGTAATATCGAGAAAACTACTTTTATTCGCACGAATAAAAGATGTCATTCGAGAGAGTTTATATACTTCAAGTAAATTCATTTGTTTGTGTTGTAATTAAAATAAGCATGAATTCGGATATATATATATATATAATAGACGTGTGAAATGCATTAGCAACATTTTTGAAGAACATTTTTACATTCCATTTGTACCAAGAAAACTTGAGCAATGATATTATTCTCAGTACCGTGAATTTATGGTAAACGGAACGTGTGTTAATTGTATTCTACGATAATTCTATATTTCGCATAATCACATCATCAGCTATTCAATTTTAGGGGAACCTTTTTATATACATATAAAAAGAAATCTTCTGAAAATTCCAAATTCTCCAGATAGTAAACACTCTGATTTATTACTATATTGTTTAGACGTGTGACTGCTTTTTTCTTCCGTGTGTGTGTGTGTGTGTGTGTGTGGTGTGTGAAATATCTAAATGTTTATAAATACTTAATTAACATAATTATACATACACAAGAAAATAAATCAGGGGCGTGATTATAGAATTAATAACAGACGCAATGGTACATTTCAAGTTTTTTCTTTTATTGAAGTAAATCGGAAGTAACGCGCGAGCTGTGCGGCGTTGCGTTATCAAAAAGTCAAAGCCGTGTCGCGCTTAAGCTGAAACACTCTCGCGCCGATATCCCATGTATTGTTATTCCAAGCGTGAAGTTCTGCGCTTGATCTCAACCTCGACGTTGACCCGTGCGTGGTGTTTCGCAACGCCGCGTATTCCCGCCTAAACGAAGTCCGTATAAAATATTCAAATATAGGTACTCACAACCAGAAATTAAAAATAAAGACGACACCGTTTCACTTATGTTGTAACGATAAAAATAAATAAAAATATAAAAGCTCGGCAGAGCCTTAATTTATCGCGCGCTGCTACATGTATATCGTTTCTTCGCTCTTCCTTTTTTTTCTCTTTTCTCTCAAACAACGTAAGCAACCTTAGTGAATATATTGTGTTTTGCAAATACAAAAGCTACACTATTTTAATTTATTACTTGTAGACTCCGTCGCCCATAGGCGACCAAATGTCCTTTAAGTATCTGTAAAAAGTAAAATCGTAACTCTCCCGTGCGGATGTCCCGTATCACGCATCAGTAATAGATGGTATGTTTTCGTGATATATATACATACATATAAATTTATGTATATATATAAAATATATACAATATATACAATATATATAATATATATACATAAAATGTATGTCTAATAAATACATAAAATGAAAGATTTATGTATATAAAAATCTTTCATTTATATATACATTATATATATTTATATATATATATATATACACACATGTATATCTGTTACATTTAATGCCGTGTGCGCATATATGCGCATGTATATATGTATGTGTATGTGTGTATGTGTATACATCATAATCATCGTGTCATATTGAAAAGTGGCATTAAAACTTTATGATTGTCTAGTATATCTGTTTCCTTCAAATTATATACATATATATATATATATATATATATATATATACACATATATACATATATGTATATATTTATGTATTTCTCAATGAGAAAAACTCCACGTCAGCTAATTCTGGCTGGAATAACCGAGTATTTCTTTCACGTGATTTATCGCTCGATATTCAACGTGTACATACATTACACAAGCAGAGATCGAAAACAATATTTCATCGAGTGTGAATTCATATTTCGATGCTACGGATACACGAAGATCTCTATCTTTTATTTATAACAATGAAAATGCAATAACTATAATGTAAGATCTTCTTTCGCATATTTTTGTAGCAAGGAAAATTAAATTCATTGAAATTATACCGTTTTCGATCCTTGATTTAACAGTACTAAAAATAGAATTTTCTTCTCAGGACATTAAATTAATTACTTATCCATCAAGGATTACAACATCGAATGTCAGCACCTTATCTTACTTACGTATAGCGCGATAGGCGTATACTTGTTTAATACGTTTTTTTCGTAACTGAACTTGTCATATAAACTAGGTAAATATATTCTTTTCGTTCAATTAATAACAGACTGATCTTAATATATTTTTTGTGTTCCTTATAAAAATCATATACATTTGAATGAATAGTTACAGTAAATGAATACAGTTCATACTGCATTATAGTAAAGGCAACAGCACCGATGACAAATATTGTAATTGTAAAACTAAAATCTTCAAAACAATGGTTTCTAATTAATAAATGAAAATTTTTTCAATTCTTAATTGTAACAAAACTAAATTATTATAATTAATTGAATACATAACTTTGTTTAAAGCATATTGCTGATAAAATAATATTGAAAAATAATTATAACTGAAAATACCATTACTATTTAATATTTTTCATTGTTGCTGTCGAAAATAATATAAAAATAATATGGACTACAACGGATCAATATAAAACTGATCTCTTGTCATATTACGTTATATAAAACTGGGACAATATATTAAATGCAATTGAACACAGATACACACACACACACACACGCACGCACGCACGCACGCACGCACGCACGCACGCACGCACGCACGCATGCACGCACGCACGCACGCACGCACGCACGCACGCACGCACGCACGCACGCATACGCACATGCACACGCCAACACACATACACACATATGTATATACATTCTGTCGCGCAAAATCCACAAATGCACTTTGACTAAAAAATTAAAACACATGTGATATAAAGGCACAGAAGAGAAATTTATGCAGGATCATTCTTAATTACATCGAAACTTTAAGGCATTAATTTAGAACACAATAAATAAAAAAAAAATACAACGTAAGCATTGATAATTCAGGTTTTTTTTCTAAATCATAACAATAAAAAAAAGTGTTGCAAGTGTGTGTCTATTTTGTACCAGACTTAAATTAACATTTATTAATACTGTATTTTTTTTCTACTCTTAATAAAACAAAATAAAACATTATGCATTCTCTCTAAATGTATATGGATATTGCTAATAGTTTTTTCAATTTAGTTATAATTTAGAAATGAGAACCTGTGTCGATAATTTGCCATATAACATGTTATGTATTCTAGAATTTGGCACACACATCCAAAATAATAAAAATTAAAAATCATATCCTGCATAATATTATGTGGTGCTGCCATTTAACGTTGTCGATTTAAGTGCATACGCGACTTCTATTCAATACTAGGTCACAGAGCTCCGTCACTTATTGGCTATAAAATATTTAAGTATATTGTTTGGTTTTGGTTTGCTGGTTGTGGGCCAAGAACGAGTGACCTCTCTCCTCTCAATGGGTAGAGTCTTGAAAACCGTAGTGTCCACTGTAGGTGATAATTGCATTGGTGATGAAGGACTTAGTCTTAGACCAGCCATTTCGTTACTCGGCGATTCTCGAGGACCTCTCAGCCATACCTCCAGCTTGGTTTTCTTCGGTAGTGGTTCTACCTCGTTTTGCAAGTCGTCCTCCGCGTTCTGACTTGCCACACACAATTTCGAGATTGGCGAGCACGAAAGACTCGACGCGGCAGTGCTCATCACGCTCATCGCCGATTGATCCGAGTCGTTGCTGTCCTGATTAATACTCATCGGCGATCCCTGATTCGCTTCAGAAATACCTTCTTCTGAGCTAATGTCTAAAACGGAATGGACGGCGACTTGTTTACACAAGAAAGGTGCGATGCTACTCCTGCCATACGATCTCTCCTCGAACTTCGTGAATGCAACTCCCAGAAGTGTCAAGTGGAATGGCTTGGAGACATCGACTATTCGATGGAATAGCTTCATGGCGAGTGTCAGCATTTTATGATGATCGTATACGCCATTTTTTGTGGACGGTAAGAGATGTTTCGGCAACGCACACTGCCTAGTCTCTCTCTTACCCGAAGTGGGTTTGTTCAAATCATGTTTCCTCACTGTTATTCTCATGGCAATGGGAATCCTGCCATCCTCCATTGCCAACTCCGTTAATCTTCTCAACAGTGCGCCCAATCGCGACTCTACTTCGGCTACCAGCGACACACTTTTAAATCCATCTTCCAGACCTATGGATTGTTTCTTTCCGGATGGTTTTACCGCTGTCTCATCGATTCCCTCGGCGTTGTCCTTCAGTCGTCTCGCTAGATCAACGCCAATTTTTAGTTCCAAATTTTCTAAAGGTATTCTATGCAGATCGTCAACTGTCCTTATGTTGTTCGATAACAATAATTCCATAGTCTTCTGTCCAACGCCAGGTATCTTGGACACGGAACCTATCGTGGAGAGTAACATTGGACCGCTGCATGGAAAAATCAATGTTTGTTGATTCGGCTTGTTTAACGATCCTGCTAATTTCGCCAGAAGCTTATTGTGTGCTATTCCAGCGCTGCAAGTAAGATGCAGTTCCTCGTAAATGCGATTCCTTATTTCGGCTGCTATTTTCGAGCCAATCATCAAGCGCGTATGACAACCGCATGGACATTCCTCCTCCGAGGGGCCAAATATCTTGCTAACCTCTTTTAAATCCTCAAACTCTGTACTCGAGCTGCTCATGTCAAGTTCCGTATCACTGTGCGACTTGAGTTGTTTTTCCACTATCGACGTCACATCGAGGAAATTGTCATCGAAGCCCAGTCTTTCCACTAATGGCGTAAACTGGTGCAGGATTTCAGATATTTTGGTCGAATAATGACGATAGTTCGTTAAATCCTCTCCGTTTACCAAGGCCAGCTCCGGACACAGGCGCAATGCCTCTTGCACCGACATACATTTCTTTATTCCGTATTCTCTCGCCAGGTAGTTGCTTGTGACCACTATACTCTTTTGCTGCACACCTAATGGCTTTCCCTCCAATTCGGGGTGATTGATCATTTCCACCTGAGCATAAAAGCAATCGACATCCAAATGGATGACGGTTTTCGGATGGCGCATAATGGTATCAAAACCTGCAGTATCCATGAGGACGTTTGACAGGGGCAGTATTTTTGTAAGTGATAAAGACTGTGCGCAAGATTCACACGGTCCACTTCTCAGACGAGAAGTTTCCTAAACTGCATCTGCAATAGATACATATACATGTATATATATATATATATGTATATATATATATATATATATAGTTAATGGTTTCGAGCGGCCTCGATTCAGACCCTAATAATGTTATTACTTTTTGGAAGAGTTTCCGTACAAATCTGCAGTGCACTTTGGTTTCACAGAGCAAGACGAGAGCGTTTCCAGATAATGAAACGAAGGCAACGGATAGTCGTCAGTCGCTCGTGGAAAACAGAACCTGCGCTACTGTCAGTTCGCGCGGGGGCTTTCACTCCCGAAAGTTGTTTGGCACTTTCGGTGGATCCACGATTTACCCTCAGGATACGGGGCACGTTTCCGTTAATCGGCGATTCGTGCAATCGACAACGCAAAACAAGGCTCTCATGACAAATTAGAGATAGAAACTTGTTTACAGTATGCAAACCGATTCATTTTCACATGGTAGCCATGTTTTTAAATTGTCATAGATATAGATGATGCATATACGAGAAATTTCAGAATCTACGCGGACCTACCGAGTAATCGAGATATAAGATGGTCGCATTTATCTCATCATGGGAACTCATAAGAAGTACAGAGACCTCTCGCGGAGAATCGTGAACTGCATATTTGTCAGTCGAGAATTTAGGTTGAGTCAGATGCTTAGTGTCCAATAGAAGGGCATGCATCCTAGGGAATGTAGGGAACAATTTTGTCCCTAGAAATTAAATCTTCCTATTGGATTTAAAGTCAACAACACATTGGATTGATGCTCCTTTCAACTGAACGGAGCACTTCCGCTCCTCGAATCTGATTGTGAACAAACTATTTTCTTTTAGGTATTCTCAGAGAAATTATTCCCGTACTTGTACTTTTTGTCACAAAGCGCGGGAAGAATTAATAACAATTTTTACCCTCTTATCTGCATATATATATATATATATATATGCGCTGCTACATATACTTTCGGCAATACGGAACATTTTCGCACTTCGAATCTGAACGAACTATTATTTTTCCCCCAGTAATCTCGAAAATTGTTCCCGCATTTGTACTTTTTAACACACATCACATTTTATAATTTTCGATTCAAGAACGCTCCAAACTTCAAATTTATTTGAATAAAAATATCGTATGCATCAAATATTAAAATTAATATAATGAAATATTTAAAATCATGTTACAATTATAATATTATGATAATTAGCAATATCATATGTAATGCGGTGTAAAACAACTTTTTGAAAAAAGAATTTGGCAGAATATTGAATTTTAGCTAATTAATATCGAAAAAGAAAGAGAGATGCTTGTACTTAAAACGCAATGCGGAGAGAGATAAACCTACAGTTATAACTTTTTGTTTCTCTTAATTATCTCTAAAGTTCCACAAATATATTTTAATCAGATCAGTTCTATTAATTCGATCGATCACGTCAATGCAGCGGCATGAAAGAAAATTATTTACAATGAATAAAAATTTTAAAACTGTATAATCGTCTAAAAGTCATGATTTTACTATATATTGCTTATTTATTAATTTTTAAGAATCAAATTTAAATTTTTTGAATATTTTCACACGTAAAAGCTTTATGTATTATAAATTCTTATTTGTTATTATTATACTGTTATTGTTACTGATATGTAAAGTCTTTTTATTAATTTAAAGTATTTAAACATAAAATGTATGTATGTGAAATAATATAAATATGACTAGTAATTGAACTATAATATTAGACGTATAAAAGTTATTTATCAAGTGTATATATATTATACAATAAAAACATTTAAAAAATATTTAATAGTATACATGTATATTTGTAATCATATCGATCTCTTTTAACAAATTTTTGATAAAAAGAATATATTATTATACATATATGTTATTACATATATATACATATATTATACATATATTTGTATAATAATGAACATACATGTGTGTGTGTTATATGCATGTTCATTATACATATATATTATATATATATATAT